TTAATATATATGATGATTTATATGAAAAAGAAATTTTAATTTAATTATTGATTTTTAAAATTATTAATGAAAATACAAATTTTTAGCTGAATTTTCTAAAATATTTAAAAATATATATATAAACACTTTTTTCAAAGTATAATAGCTAGTAGAGAAAGTGTATTTCATATTTTTATTAATCTTCTTAGAATAATCAAGAATAGCAAGGAATGGTACTACTAATGATTTGTATTAAATATCTTAATTTTTACTAAAATTTAAGTTTTTAGTAAAATAGTTATAATATTTTTTCCTTCGCTTAAACCTTCCTTGCTTAAAAAGAAGAAGAAAAAAAACAGCGAAGGAATGGCCAATATTTTACGAGAGATGTCAATAGAGGTTTCCCTTCTTTCTGCTTCTAGTACAAAGAATTCAATCATCTTGGAGGAGGACTCCATTTTGGAAACTCTTGATGGTGCTTCCACCTATTCTTCGTGAATCGTGATGATAATTTAGGAATACAGAGGCTGCGTGCGATTAGATAATTCAATGCTCTAAGCAGTGCCACTTTTGTTTTATAACCAAAAGAACAAAACTTTGAAGTTTCAACGTTTAGTAAGAGTCAACAAAACCATCTTCCCTAGTCAACAGTCAACTCAGTTGCCCCTTCAAAGCCCGCGAGCTTTCTTTTCTCAAAATGCAACCCATTCGGCCCCCCGCCTCTCCTATCGCCTCCGCTATGGTCCCTCTCGTCCTCCTCTTCCCGCTCATCTTTTCTTCCTTTCCGCCCATGGAACGCATTCCTCTACCCAAAACAACACTTCCGCCTTCCTCAACTGCGACCAGACCTTCTCATGCGGGGGCCTCCAAAACCTCTCTTACCCATTAACCGGCGGGCATGATCCGTCATACTGCGGTCCGGCGGAATTCCACCTCAACTGCACCGACAACGGAATTCCCGAGTTAATTCTGGACTCATTGAGTTACAGGATCATCCAACTCGACTGAAACATACAGAGCATGACGCTTTCCCGCTCGGACCTGTACAACAACACATGTACCCACGAATTGGCTAACACCAGTCTGAGTTCCCCTTTATTCAATCTCAGCCCAGACAACCAAAACCTCTCGCTGTTCCATGAGTGTACTTCGGTCCAGGCGTATACCCCGGAGAACCTGTTCTGGTGTGGAGATGGGAATTCTAGTAGTCCTGCGTGCCATTTTGCAAGGTCTACTCTCAGGGAAGCTTTAATGGAGGGGTTTAGCGTGAATTATACTACTCCAAATGCGGACGATTGCGCTAGGTGTTGTGATTCGGGTGGGGAGTCTGGGTTTTTGGATCAGTTTGTTTGCACTTGTGGTGATCGAATTTGTGACGTAGCAGGTATTTGTTAACGATACTCACTTTAGTATCTATGTGATAATGCTGGTTCTTTGCCTAATATCTAATTTCCGCTTTATTTCTGCATTTTTCCAACTTCTCAATTATTAAGAGATTGAGTCTCCATGTTAGGGATTCTAAGTTCAAATCCTGGGATGGGAACTATCCCTGTTGTATAGTCCATCTGATGATGTAAAAAGAAAAAATGTTCACCTGAACTCCTGAGGTTTACAGCTTGGTCTATCTTAATGTTCTATCGTGACAATTCATGGTTGGGAAATTTATGAATTCATGGTTTCTGTGTGACAACTCACTAACTTTTGAGCGCCTTTGAGTTGAATTTGTTTCCAGTAGTGCTACTTGGATTGAAGGATGTTCCTTGGCTTCAATTGTGATAGATGGGTAGTTTCAACCTTATTGAGAGCGTGTTTGGTGGAGCTTTTGGAGTTTTTATTTATTTATTTTTTTTATACTGTTTATAAGCGATAAGTTTAAATTTTTATTGGAAGGAAATTTTAAAAGTTTTTTTTAGAAATAGAAAAAAAATGAGTAAGAAATGAGTAAAAAGGAAGTTTATAAAAAGCAAGTTTATAAAAAGCAAAGTTTGAAGCTTTTCAAAATTTATTTTTTAAGATTTTTTTAAGGTTAAAAAGAAGTTAAAAAATGTAAATTTTTAAGAAAAAAATTTAAACTTACGAAACATGAATAATGTCAAAAAACTTAAGCACTTACGAGTTTCACCAAACATCTCTGAATTTCACTTCACTGATAGGAAAAGAATCATAACCTCACATAAAACAATTTGTTTGTTTTAATCCCCAATTAACCTACTGCTGTATTGAAACGCCTACTTAGGCTGCTTCAATTGCTAATAATCGTGTATTAATGTTGTTCTAATATGTAGCAATAATTTGTTTTGGGAATGGTTGATTCTTTAAAATATTTCAAATCTTATCACATTCAAATAAGCTAATTCTTTCTTCAATATTTCTATGGTTGGATTTTAGTTTGTGTTTCTTATATGCTTCATTAGCTCCCTCCTATCAGTGAAAAAAAAGTGATGATAAATGATACCATTTCTTTTCCTTTTTGTTGTTTCAGGGAAATCAAAGATTAAAGCTTTTCCAATCATAGGTACTAAATTAGTCTCGTTTGGAAAACATTATTTTTGTCTGACATCTTATAACCATCATTTCTAGATTACTTGACTTGATCTTTTTTTATGGCCAAGCAACAAAACATTGACTTATTCTTCATTGATCTCTCATAAAACAGGATTGGCAGTAGCTGTAGCTACCATTATAGCAATCATTTTTATAGTGCTCCTTGTCAGGCTTAAAGCAAAATCATTGTCAAGTTTGAAGTCTCTATACTTCCATCTAACTGGCAAGAACAATGAAAGAGTTGAGGCATTCATTCTTCGGTATGGTTCTCTTGCTCCCAAGAGATTTTCCTATTCAGACATCAAGAAAATAACCAACTCATTCAAAGAAAAATTGGGTCAAGGAGGATATGGCAGCGTATATAAAGGAGAATTACCTGATGGCCGTATTGTGGCAGTAAAAGTACTCAGTAAATCCAAAGGTGACGGACAGGATTTCATCAATGAAGTTGCTAGCATTAGCAGAACCTCCCATGTTAATATAGTCACCCTATTGGGGTTCTGTTATGAGAGGTCAAAAAGAGCTTTGATTTATGAATTCATGCCCAATGGATCTCTGGATAAGTTCATCTGTAATCAAGGATCTCTAGAGAACCAGCAGCTTGCAATTAAGACCTTGTATGAGATTGCACTAGGCATTGGTCAAGGACTAGAATACTTGCATCGAGGTTGTAGCACAAGGATTTTACACTTTGACATAAAACCTCAAAACATCCTCTTAGATGCCAACTTTTGTCCTAAGATATCTGATTTTGGTCTTGCTAAATTATGTGAAACAAGAGATACTATTGTTTCAATGACGGGGGCTAGAGGAACTTGTGGATATATTGCTCCAGAGGTATTTTGTCGAAGCTTTGGAGGAGTATCTTACAAGTCTGATGTGTATAGCTATGGCATGATGATCCTAGAAATGGTTGGGGGAAGAAGAAAAAATGTTACTGTGGAAGTGTCTCATTCCAGTGAAATGTATTTTCCAACATGGCTGTATAAGCAGCTTGGAAAATCTGAAAAATTAAATCTTGACAGAATCATAGCTGATGAGGAAGAAGAAATGACTAGGAAGATGATAGTAGTGAGCCTTTGGTGCATTCAAACAATTCCATCAAACCGACCATCAATGAGTAAGGTGCTTGAGATGTTACAAGGAAGCCTCGAAGCTTTGCCACTTCCACCAGAACCCTTGTTGTCTTCTCCTGCAGCAATATCACTCCAAAACTCCAACACCACATCCTCAGTCATAATGCAGGTTAGACCATACTTTGCTATTTTTTATATGATCTAGTGCAATAAATGTATCAAATTTTATTTTATTTTATTTTATTTTATTTTATTTTATTTTTGGAGTTGCAGTTGTCTTCAATTTGCTTACTATGTTCATGGCAATATGTTTGAGATGATTTGCAGGGGGTTCCAAGCACTTTTGAGACGAAGTCACAACCTGATGATGATGACGTATATTCAAACACATAGAAATGCTGTCTGCTGCATTTTTTTTAACAGAAAAACAAAGTTTTGTTATAAGAAGTCAAACATCCCCTTAGATGGTATTCAAAAGTTCAGCAGAGTTTTCCCTGTATTTTCTTAATCCTCTAGTCTTCATCTTCAATGTGTAACACTCAATGGACCGCTGTGAAATCATCCCCATTCTCTATGAATAACACTCCTTTGGTTTGTTCATCCAATCAGTCAAAGAAAAACAGCAATTTTTTTCTCTTGTGAGCCAAAACTAGTTCCTCAACTAATGAGCATCTGTTCTTTTAGTGCCAACATACAAAACAGATCTGGCAAAATATTTGCAATATAGCAGGAATACCTCTGCTTTGTTCTTGGCAGAATCTGATTGCTTGGATGGGTAAGAAGATTAAAAAAAAGACCCTTTACTGCACTCTAATTAAATTAGCATGGAATGCCACAGTATATCATGTTTGGCGCGAAAGAAACAACAGGTTAGATAGACAGCAACTCTAATCTGTGCCTTTGATTGTTGGAGAAATTCTTTCTGATGTTAGGCATAAGATTTTGGGATTTGTTAGTTCCAAATCTTCCTCACTGCCCATGTACGTTGCTACACAGTGGGGGCTTAAAAACATAGTTCAAAAAACACTAGTATAGTTGTAGATGAAGAGTTTTCTTCTTCTTCTTCTTCTTCTTCTTCTTTTAAGTCTTCTTTTTTTATTGTAGCAGCTTAAGCTGCTCTATGTACAAATAATAGTTTACTGGATAAAAAAAACTTTACATTTTATCCCAAAAAAAGAAAAAGAAAAAATAGTTCCTCAACCGTATCTAGATTGCGATTGAATTATGCCTGTTTTCAATATGATTTATCTGTTGAACATATTTAGTAGAAAAAGGATGATAATGATAATATAATTTCAACTAAAGTTAATTTCATTGGTCTAATAAATGTTCACCATAATGTACAACGTATAAAGCTCCGCAAGTCAGTTACACTTGGAAAACTTTTTCTTTCATTAGCTCAATTTTCCTAAATATGAAGAAAAAGAGAAAATTATAAGTTGCCAGGTTATAACAACTTCTATGGAATTCTACGAAAGTTCTAACCTCCAACTTGATTACCCAAATTTTTGGTTTTGTTTTGTGAAGATAGCGCCTTGATGTTTTGAAAATTCCAGTTCAACCCAACCTTTTCCTGTCAGAGTGAGAATAATATTATGAGTGGGACTTAAGCCAACAACTCTTATTTCATGGTTAAACAAGAATAAAAGTTTTTGAAATTTGAATTTAAAGACAAATTCAACCGTTAGTTAAATCCTAGCTAATTTTAGATATTTTGAGGATGAAGATGCTGCCGTGAGATTATTAGGAATTATAAAAAAAAAAAATTGTTTCATCCTTCTCTTCTCTATCGCTCAGGTTGTAGGAACCATCTTCCTCTGTTACAGATTAGTATATGATATCAACAAGGCATAAAGCCCAAGCATAGTATACAAAGGATTAGTTTACCGAGTAATATTACATCAATACAAAAGCTAGATGCATATATAAAGCCCATGCTTGAAAAATCAATGAAATCATTTAGCTTATTGCTTAAATTGCCCATTTCTGTGATTCATATATAAACCCCATGCTTAAATTGCCCATGACTTTACAAGTCAGATTGACCCGTGTCTTCACTTTATATTGAAAAATGAAGATTGTTATGGGATTAATTCATGCGGCCATGACGTTGCAAGTCAGATTGACCCGTGTTCTACGCTATATATTGAAAAATGAAGATTGTTTGGCACCAGACAAAACCAGTCAAAGGAGGAAACCCCCGTTTCCATGGATAGCAAGCAAAGCGCGTAAAACAGTCTTACTTTGCACTTCTTTTTCCACCTTTATTTCCAGGTAGACTTTTTAGTCTTTCCTTCCACATTAATTAAGAAATTTCCCTGTTATAAACTCTTGTCATTATCTTCAATCTAGCATGTCATAACATACGCATCATCCTACCGTGCCATCTGTGGAATCAGAATGGATTAGCCAGATGATCGTAGCCATCACATAATTCATACATACAGCTAAATACTTCCTAGTTATTATAGGAGAATGGTATTACTGCACAATACATAATAGTTCCGTCCTACACGGTAGTAAGAGTTCTTTTCAATGGAATCATCGGAATAAATTGATGCAAAGAAGTTGAAAAGTCGAAGTCTTTTAAGTCAACCAAATGCATTTTCTAGCAGTTTCTTTGAATTATCTTCACAGCCAATTGCTTTTCATTCAGGCACTTACATCCTAAATCAGTTCTTATTTTCCCTCCAGAGTCCAGACCAACCACTCCTTGAAATTCACCCATCAATCCCTCCAGTTCCTCATCCCCATCCGCGCAAGAATATGAACTACTTCCTCCTTTTTGTTATGATACTCTTGGTTTTCTCTAAGACTCCGTTGTCATCTAGCAACCCTGATTTGTACGGACCCTGCAGTAAGGAGTTCAAGTGTGGGAATGTTTCTGCAGGCTTTCCATTCTGGGCAGGATATCAAAGACCGCGTGAGTGTGGCCATCCAGGACTTCAACTCCAGTGCGAGGATAATGATGCTGCTATTTTAGAAATCGTCGGTGTTCGATATCGAGTTCTTGAAATTAATCAGGAAACCAAAAGACTGAAGATTGCAAGGGAGGACTATGAGGGTGGAATTTGTTCCCGGAATTTGCAGGACACCACCCTTGATGCCACTCTCTTTGTCAGTGCTAAAGGTTATGTAAATCTTACATTACTCTATGGCTGCTCGACATCCATTCCATTTCTACCCACACTTGGAAACTTCAGCTGCAGAATAAATGGATCGAATTATAGCAGGGGTTTGATCCATCCAGGGGTACCTACTGGTCCTATAAGTTGTTCTGCTAGTGTCACTGTCCTGGTTCATGAATCTTTCCGCCAAATAACTACAGTAGAGGTCGTTGAACAGGAGTTAAAGGATGGATTTGAAGTAGAATGGAAGGTAGCCGATGAAGAGCGCTGTCAGAAATGCATATCCATTGAAAACTGTGGCATTAACGATCGGAATAAAACGGTTTGCTACTGTTCGGAACCGAATGGTTCATTTGAAGAATGTCCTCCTTTTTCCCCTCCCTGGCCTCCTGTCCCTTCCCCACCAGCACAACCACCATCAAAAGCCGATGAGCAAGGTAAGTACCTTATGTTAAGGTATTGTTAATTATAGTATAGAATAAGACATTAAAATAGTCTTACTGGTTTTCGCCCCGATTTTTTTTTCTTCTTTTGCATGGTAGAATTTTTTTTTTTTTTTTTTGGATCAGCTGCATATTAGATTTGTTGATCGTAGACAAAGTAATGATCTGATTAGGTAGCAAATTCCATTGAAAATGTGAGCTAGCCTTTCTGGGGAGTCAATAGAGCAGATAACTGTGGTCAACTAGGGTTTGAGCTACCCTTCCATGGATAGGAAAGCAAAACGCCTAAAGCATTTTCATTTTCCATTCCTTTGTCCACCTCCTCTTCGAGGTAGACTTTAGGTGTTTTTTTTTTTTCTTTCTACATTGATTGAGCAATTTCCTTGTTATAAACTCTGTCGTTATCTTCACTCTAGCATGTCATTACATAGACATCATCTTACAGTGTCGTCTATGGAATCAGAACGGATTAGTAAGATGATCGTCGCCATCACATATTTCATACAGCTAATTAAGTACTTAATAATTATTATAGGAGTATGGTATTATTGCACAAGACATAATAGTTGTTAGGTGTTCACATTTGAGTAGATATCAAAAGTGGAGAGTGAAAAGTAAGTGGCTTATATATGTGGAAACTTATAAACCTAATAAATTAGTTTTTGGGTTCAAGATAATGTTGATCCAAATTGATCAACCCAACAATGGGAGTAGACCCATTCTACACGATATAAGAGTTTTTTCCAATGGAATTATCAGAGTAAATTGATGAGAAGAAGTAGAAAGGTTGACGTCTTTTTAAGTCAACCAAATGCACGGAATTTTTTGTCTAGCAGTTTTTTTGAAAAACCATGATTGGCACACACACATTCATACTACATTTTCTTTACACACTCTTTTTTTCGTTAACTTTCACACTCCATTAGTCTCCATTTCACACACCGTGTTCCAACCTTCTTTCTCTTTTTTTTTTATTTTTTTCTCCCGGGTTCTCGAGAGAACCCAAACTTGGGTTCTCCAGAAAAAAAAGAAAAAGAAAAAAGGAAGAAGGTGGGAACCTGGGAGAGGCTGGCAATTGTCTTGCAAATGATTAGGATAAGGATGGAAGTGAGGAGGAAGATGGATCTGGTGAGGACAGAAAGGGTTTGGCGAGTTGGGAGATGGCTGAGGAGATGATAACGGAGTTAAGTGTGATTAACGGTTAAATAACGAAAATTGAAGGGTGTAACGGAGTGTGTAGTGCGGGAGTGTGCATGCATCATTATCTTTTTTTGAATTATCTTCTCATCCTTGCTTCTAAGGCACATACATTCTATATCAATTCTTATTTTCTCTCCAGAGTCCAGACCAACCACATCTTGAAATTCACCCATCAATCCTCCACTTTCTCATCCTCATCCGTTCAAGAATATGAACTATTCTTCCTCTTTGTTATACTCTTGGTTTTCTCTGAGACTCCCTTGTCATCAAGAATCCCTGAATTGTGTAGTAATCAATTCAAGTGTGGCAATGTTGTTGCAGACTTTCCATTATGGGGGGAGACCAAGGACAGCCTGATTGTAGCCATCCAGGATTAAAACTCCATTGTGATTACAAAACCTACTCATAATAAATATAAAACACTTGCTTAAGCATATGATAATAAAGCAATCTAATGGTTTACATGGATACTAGAGCTAAACCCGGTTCTTGATTTGATAGTAAAGCTGCAAGTTAGTATAATCCACCAAGACTAAAAGATGAAAAGATAACTGTTGAAATAGTTAGCGGCTAAAAGCATTTGAAGACAACATAGCGAATACCAATCACTTCTCCTTCTATAAATTTTAGAAAGAAAGATATAAAATAAGGATAAAATCTGCACATACTATGCCTGGAAGGTCATATAAGCCAGCTTTAGGAGAGGCGAGACCCCTTAAAAGAAACTTAAAAAAATAAAACAAAATCATGAAAAAAGAAGAGAGAAACAAAGAATTAAAAGAAAAAAGAGAAAGAAAGGATGGGAACAAGAGGAAGGAGGGGAGTGACGGTTAGGGTTCTGCTCCCCACCTAACATTAATATTTATTTGGTTGCAAATTCTGATTCAAAAGCTTCACTCAGCAAACCATTACTTTCCCATTTATTTTAAGTATTGCCACTCCATGACAACAAGCATTTAATTTTAGTTGCTATATCACACACTATATGTAGACATTAGATAACTGATATGGAGAACTATCCATTGCCAACTGCTTCATGGGCCATTTAATTGGTCTAGGTAAGGTTAAATGAGATGCACACAAGCAAAAAGGAGCTCTGTTCATTCCATGAAAGGAAAAGTGAAAAAAAATCTCTAGAAAAGTTAGCATGACAGAAGATCGAGGATAAGTCTGGAGCTTGAATCTCTTGGTTCACCTACTGCAAAGCTAAATTTACATGAAGAATCTGTCAACCATCCTTTTAATTTGGTCATCTTAACCAATCCTTCTAGTGATCTTAGGAAGACTTTTGACAACATATAGAGGAAGTTCAAAACTTCAAACGTTAGGAATTCAAGTCACTGTTAAATCTGCTGATTAGTATACTTTGTTGTTGAAGCAATGAAGCTACTTCATCAAAATTAAAGAACAAGATTTACATAGGAGGCAAAAAATGCCACCAGCTACAAGCACAAAACATGGGAGAAACAAATAATAACCGGTAAGAGTTCCAAATGCTAGTAGAATCCTCAACTGATTTAATCCCAATAACACTACATGATGAAAGATCCCAAACATATTTGCTCTTTAGTTTTTGATAGTATCAGCTATTCCTATTGAAACTCCATTTTTGGTGCACTAAAAAGTAAAGCAAATGATTAAGAACTCAATGATCATGAACAATGCTATGAACACTTGCAAGAAATATTTAGATGCTTTTGGTATTAGGTGACTGAGGATATATTTTAGTTGGTATTCAGACACAATTCAAACAAATTAACTCTCATACGTTGGTTATATTTTCCCATTAGGAGGGCATCGCAGTGCTAACTCTCAATTTCAAATTGGTAGTTGACTGCACAAGTCCCTTACAATCATTTAGGTTTATTCAAGCAGCGGCCTTGTTAAATACAACAAGAAGCTCAACTAATTTCATATCCATTGTCCCGTTTCCTTCCTAGTATATCTCTCTCTATTTCTTCAGAAACGCAATCCACCTGTTCTTCTATTCCTCCTTTTTATCTTGATCCTTCTCTTCACCTTGATCAAACTTCAATCCAGTTTTTGTGCCAAAGATTTATGGTACTGAAACTGCAGCCAAACATTTACATGTGGAAGCATAAAAAATGTGAGCTACCCTTTCTGTGTAGTGAATAGAGCAGATTACTGTGGTCAATCAGGGTGGGTTTGGGCTGGATTGCCAAAATGATGTGCCAAAGATCAGGATGCTGAACAACATGTTCAGAGTTCTCAGTATCAACGCAGAAGAGCAGATTCTTAAGGTTGCCAGAGATGATTAATGAAACGACATTTGTCCCACAGAACTCATCAACACAACCATCGATTTCAATCACTTTAATTATATTTCAAGAGGGCTTAGAAACTTCGCCATTTTCTACAATTGTACCTCAGATTCAAACTCTTAGTATTCTTCTTCTTCTCTGCCTCTACTTAATTGTACCATAAATAATACCACCGTTAATTGGCTGTCCCTGTACGGTACCATTACCAGCGCAACTGATCCCTTGCTAGAAGAATGCACCAGCAATGTCCAAATTCCAATCAACGAAACAGCTGCCCAGATTCTATATATATCATTATCCATGGATGGTTAATTATACTCTGAAGGCCAGTTTCGACCTGCAGTGGGAAATAGGTGATGATCAATGCAATAAATGCTTGAATTCCGGTGGGTGTTGTGGGTATAACAAGACCACAACTCAATTCAGTTGCTTCTGCCAAGAACAGCGCTGGCCAAGCGCATGTCCAACCAGGTAGTCCTGAGGCATTTTATGTTAATTTTGGTCCATCCATATAAATAATTCTTATAGGCTGTAAGATTATAATAAGAGAAAAGAATTTTGAAAATAAATGTTTTGGGTTTGATTTGTTCACTTTACTATTTATGTGATAATGTTGGTTCTATGCCTAATTGCCAATTTCTGCATTTTGCTTCTAGAACCATAATTAAGTTCACCTGAACTTCTGAGGTTTATAGCTTGGTCTATCTTGATGTTCAATTGTTACAATTCTATCATAGATGTTTTAACTCAATTTTTGAATCTCGTGATTGTTGCAGGCAAGAAGAAAACAACAATACTTCCTTTAGGTAATTATCCTTAATATATTATATTTTTCTAGTATTAACATTTTTACCAAAGGTCAGTTATAATTTGAACATTCTTTTCTGTTTTTGATCTTTAGGCCTCTTTATAGCTGGTGGAGTAATTGCTGGTATTCTTCAGACAGTCTGGTGCTTTTTATCGATAGAGAGTAATAAGATAATTGCCGCTCAATTTTCTCAAAGCAAAGACTTGCCTGCAAGTCCATCAAGCAAAGGCTTGGGACCTACTACTCCCTCCACTGAGCCTTCTGAAAGCATTCCTTCTTGTTCCTCACCCAAGTCTGACCTAGAAAAGGGAAGCACCTACTTTGGAGTACAGGTCTTCAGCAACTCTGAGTTTGAAGAAGCAACTCATAATTTCGATCCTTCTCAAGAAAGGGTTGAGGCATTCCTTAGTCAGTATGGTTCGCTTGCTCCTAAGAGGTTTTCCTATTCAGACATCAAGAAAATAACCGACTCGTTCAAAGATAAATTGGGTAAAGGAGGTTACGGCATTGTATATAAAGGGGAATTACTTGATGGCCGTATTGTGGCAGTAAAAGTACTGAGAAAACCCAAAGGGGATGGACAGGATTTCATCAATGAAGTTGCTAGCATTAGCAGAACCTCCCATGTCAATATAGTCTCTTTGATGGGGTTTTGTTATGAGAGGTCGAAAAGAGCTTTGGTTTATGAATTCATGCCCAATGGGTCCTTGGATAAGTTCATTTATAACCAAGGATCTACAGAAGAAAGCCATCAGCTTGCAATCAAGACCTTGTATGAGATAGCTCTAGGCATTGGCCGAGGACTTGAATACTTGCATCGAGGTTGTACCACAAGGATTTTACACTTTGACATAAAACCCCAAAACATCCTCTTAGATGCCAACTTCTACCCTAAGATCTCTGACTTTGGTCTCGCTAAATTATGTGAAACGAGAGATACTATTGTTTCGATGACAGTGGCCAGAGGAACTTGTGGATATATCGCTCCAGAGGTATTTTGTCGAAACTTTGGAGGAGTTTCTTACAAATCTGATGTCTATAGTTATGGCATGTTGGTGCTGGAAATGATTGGGGGAAGAAGAAAGAATGTTAATCTGGAAGAGTCTCACTCCAGTGAAATGTATTTTCCAACGTGGCTGTATAAGCAGCTTGAAAAATCAGAAAAATTGAATCTTGACAGAATCATAGCTGATGAGGAAGAAGAAATGACTAGGAAGATGATAATAGTGAGCCTTTGGTGCATTCAAACAATTCCATCAAACAGACCATCAATGAGTAAGGTACTTGAGATGTTACAAGGAAGCCTTGAAGCTTTGCTACTTCCACCAGAACCTTTGTTGTCTTCTCCTGCACCAATATCACTCCAAAACTCCAACACCACATCATCAGTCATAATGCAGGTTAGACCATACTCTGATTTTTTATATGAGTTAGTGCAATAAATGTATCAAATTTTTTTGGATGTACAATTGTCTTCAATTTGATTACTATGCTCATAGCAATATGTTTGAGATGATTTGCAGGGGGTTCGAAGAACTTTTGCGACTAATTCACTACTTGATGATGATGACGTGTCTTCAAATACATAGAAATGGTGTCTGCTGCATTTTTTTTCTTTTTTTTTCTTGACAGCAAAACAAAGTTCTGTTACTAGAAGTCAAACATCCCCTGTAGATGGTATTCAAAAGTTCAGCATAGTTTTCCCTGTATTTTCTTAATCCTCTAGTCTCCAGCATGTAACACTCCATGGACCACTGTGAAATCATCCCTATTCTCCATGAATAACACTCCTTCGATTTGTTCATCCAATCAGTCAATGAAAAACAGC